AAGTTTTTCTGCCATTGGAAAGCTTCACTCTCGGATGATTTTGATTAATATTATGAGTTTATTTCGACAAAGATAAACCCATAATATCAATTAAATTCGTTCCCAGAAATCAAATAAGCTCGATGTTTAATTCAGTAAGTCGTTTTCCCCTTTTCAGTTTCGATTTAGTTCGCTTCTTGTTCTATCTTTTAATTAAGTGTAGTTTTAATTTCTGAATATTTTAATTAGTGATTTGTTGTGATATAACTCTGTCGATTAGATTATTGGTGATACATGTTTCTATTAGTTCTTAGTTTAATTTTCATTTTTGTTTGTTTATCCTGTTTTTGTCTTGTTCAGTTTTTAGTTAGTCAATCGTTAGTATAATTGTTAGGTATTAATTCAGTTTTAATTAGTCTAAATGATTAGTTTCAGTCGAATTTTGTTTGAAAGCTGTTGCTCCTTGATCTTCCTGATACTTCACTTCGATTCTGTGGCTAGATAGTTAATTCAATTGTAAGATTTGTTCTGTGATTAGTCAGTTAATTAGTTTTCAGTTTAGTTATTATCAATTGGATGCATTATTAGAGTTGTAGGACTTAGTTTGGAGTATAGCTGATTGAGCTTTGGTTGAGCAGTAATTTTAGGAGGTATTAAGGGTAGTTTGGGTATGGAAAAGGGTAGTTTTATTAGAAATAGTAATTTCAGAATTAATACAAGGGTAGTTTAGGGATTCTAAGGGTAGAAAAATCAGAATAGAACCCCCTAGGACTTTCTAGAAGGGGTTTTAAACTGAAATTCAGTAAACCTAGGGTAGTTACTTGTGTAACAAGTCAGAAAATAAGGGGTAAAAAATAGAATTAAAATAGGGACTAATGGGTAAAGTGAAAATCTGAAATTGGACCCTAAGTTTGCCTATAAATAGGCATTCATTTGCCTTGCTGAGGAGGCTCTTTGAACCCCCTGAAAATTGCTATAAGTTTGGAGCCTCAAAAATTCCCCCCAACAAATCTCTTCAAGCTTCATAGATCTGAAATTCAAATTTCAGATCACAAATTGCTTTAGTCTGTAGTCGAGATTTACTGCATATAGGGTCGTTTGGGGTTTGTTCGAGTTGTTGTTGGTTGATTTTGAGTATTCGAGCTGGTTTTGGGTTGCTTCAGTGATAGAAATTGTTGCTGTGTTTGATCTATCACTGGAATTTCAAATTTGTTCCTAAATTTGCTGTGTCAACTGATTTATTACTGAATTTTGAACTTATTCCTGGGTTGCTGCTGAGAACTGTTACTGTTGCTGATCTTTTCTTCTTCTTATTGCTCTCTGACTTCCAGGTACACGTTTGAATCTACTCTGCTGTAACTTTGAGCTTGAAATGGAATACAATTACTCACCTATTTGATCCTGAAATATGCTGCCTGGACTGTGGTGTGTTGGTAGTTAAATAGGCGTTAGATTTAATTGTACAGCATAGTTTAAAATCGATTTGTATGTGTATAAATCCTGGACTGTATAATTGAGACTGGACCAGACTGTTTTCGATACTGTTGAGACATTTGGAATTGATTGTAGTTCACGTTCCCAATATCTGAATACTGCATATAAAGGTTAGAACTAGAAATCCTGAATATGAGCCTGTTTTTATTTTAGAACTGCAGCCCCGTTGTATTAATTCGAATAGGCCTGTTAATATTAAGCCAGGGTATTTGCACTATTCATGCTGAGCTTACACAACTCTAACAGTCTATTGTAATTGATGACCACTCTAGTGTACCAGTCACGTTCATTGCATTTAACATGTAATATGATGCTTCCCTCTGGTTTGTTTTTCACCGTTAGTGACATCTAGGAACTCACCAGTAGGCAAATAAATAAGTATACTTTGTTCTTCCTCGTATAAGTCATTGAATACAATTAAAATAGCCTGAAGTAACTCAGTAGATTTACATTTGTTGATTTGAGGTTCTGATTGGTTTGGCGTAGGCCCAGGCCCAGTTTTGACTCCATTCTCGTTTGGGCCTGGACCAAGGCGTTTGATGGACCAGTTGAAATCGTGCGGACCTGAGTGTAATTTCCCCTCGTTGGGCTTATCTTAGAGCCCAATGGTTGGACTGTGGTGCATAATTACCACTTAGTCCAATAATGAATTAAGTAGGACTTTTTCCTCCATTACTAGAGACAAGTAAAAATAGAGAACCATAGTTGTTTTTAGGTTTGCCTTTAAATAATAAATGAGATGAGCCTCGCCAAACAAAAATACACAAATTACGAGGCCCTCAATAAATATTATATTAATTTTTAGACTTCGGGATGGGCCGTTTAGCGAATTTCACGGCCTTCCCCAAATAATGACGCGTTAGTCTCTTTAGGCGCGTATTTTAATAATATTACTTTCCTAAATTCGGGTGCACATTTATGTGACCCAAATCCAAATCTCAACGAAGTCGAAATGTGTTAACAATCACGGGTGCACTGGTGCGACGTGGTTCGAGACGCATTTTCATGACGTTGCAATTCTTATTAAACATAAAAATAAAAGCGGTTTACTAATAAAAACAAATAAGTTAGAACATGTTTTAAATTAGATAATTTAAGCCGAATATGACAGTTAGCGACCGTGCTAGAACCACGGAACCTGGGAATGCCTAACACCTTCTCCCGGGTTAACAGAATTCCTTACTCGGATTTCTGGTTCGCAGACTGTTAACAGAGTCATAGTTTCCTCGGTTCGGGATTCAACTGGTGACTTGGGACACCATTAATCTCCCAAGTGGCGACTCTGAAATCTTAATAATAAATCCTGTTCCGATTGTCCTTTAAGTGGAAAAACTCCTTTACACCCTTGCGGGTGTAGAAAAAAGGAGGTGTGACAGAGCCTCTTTTTTTTTTCTTCTCTTTGCTCTGCTTCGGGGTAGATGATGAAAGAAGTGCCTCTTCTTCAGCAGATGGGGCTCTCATTGCTACATCCTTCCCTAGGCCTACAAAAAGGAAAAAGACGAGTAAGCTCAATGCAAAGCCTGAATGGAAACCATACTAAGAAAAGAAGATCACCATGGTGATGGGCCTCCCATTGACCCTTTGATAACTCCATCCAAGCACGCTCGAGTAAGACTTCTGCGATACTAAGCCCTCGAGCCATTTCCTGAGATCGGGGATTACTTCCGGCACGTAGGCCACAGCTGCAACACAAAAAGCATAGAAGAGGAAAGCAGATGAGAAGCAAAACAACAAAGTTAGATATTCAAGGTGAAACAATTCTTACGATTCATGTTCCATTTTTTAGGAAACGACATGTCTTCGGCAGGGATTAGGTATGAAGTTTTTATTCGGATAAATCGGCCCATCCATCCTCGGTTACAGGTCTCGTCTATGCTCGAGAACGGGGGTTTGGTGGCTCGGCGATAAAGCTTGATCAGTCCTCCTTGATAAAGTCGCGGACTGAAGAGACGCATAAAGTGATCGAGGGTAAAAGGATGCCCCTCGATCTTGTTTACAAAAAATCGGAGGAGGATCATGATCCTACAGAATGATGGATGAGTCTGGCCATGAGTCACATTGTACCTCTTGTCGAAGGCGACGATGGTGGGGTTTAAAGGACCCAGTATAAGGATAAGTGTAAACACTTAAAAACCCTTCCACATGTGTAGTGATTGATTCCTCAGGCAAGGGCACCACCACGTGCTTATCAACCCAGTTGTAGTCATTTTTAACTTGGTCGAGGAGACAGACGGTAATTGTTCATATGTTTCTCGACATCGGTTCGCATCGACCTGGTGTTGTATTCTCTACCTTAAAGTCGACAGCAGTAGGGCACTTTGTCGGAACGAGTCCTCTAGGGGAGGCTTCGCCACAGTTCCGTCACCGGCGGGCCTTGATGAAGAAGAGGTTTCCTTTTGCGGAACTGTTTTTGAAGTGTTAGCCATTTTACTTTTATGAAGGAGAATGGAAACTCAGAAGAAGCACTTGGAATTTTGCAATGAAACAGGTGAAGGAACCCATAGATCTGAGAATACAAAGCTTTGAGAAAGGGGAAGGATTTTGAAGGCTAGAGTGAAGAAGATTTGGAAGTAAAGTTTGAAAAGTGAAGAAGAAGGGTATTTATAATTACGCAATGACGGTTCAAAGCCGATAATGGCCGACCGTCAACTGACTCGCATTAAATGCTTGGGAAACTGTACCAACGAGACGTTTCAGTTACCTCTGCTGCTTGCGTCATGGTGCTTACATCATGATATATCGAAGTGAAGATCGAAGGCTCAAATCGCTTCTTGTCTTTACTCTCCAAAAAACGAGGGGACTATCTGTATACTGTCAAATCGGTCTTGCCCTTTTTAGTATGACTGGTCGAGATCCAGGCGTGACAGGCCGAGGTTCGACCCCATGTCGTACCGGATCGTGACATGAAGTTAGACGGCCAAGCTCGTGATTCAGGGGCCAATCGAGATCGAGATCAGCCAAGACCGAGACCGAGCGGGAAAGAGATCGAGCATGATCGAGGGAAGCATGTCGAACCAAATAACGAAAAGCCAAGATGTCCCCGATCAGGCGAGGATCACGGTGTAAATCTCAGCACGTATCAAGGAGAGGCCGATTTATCATTTAAATGGAATTTCTTACCGTATTTAGGATTGTACTAGAAGTAGGACTCCCCTACTATTTAAAAGGGATCTGATCATTTGTATGGATCATCATACTCACGTTACAAAGGCAATATATTATCTTTTAAGTTCTCAATATTTTGGTCACTTTGTTCATACATTCCGGCGAAATATTTACGTGATTTGGGGGCAACCTAGCTCAAGGATCAAAGCTATACATTTCATTTGGTTTGCTTTACTTATATTTGCAGTTAATTTCATTGTCAATTTACGTTTTCTCTTAATTTGTGTTAAGTAAATCACGTGTCCTTAAAACCACAGTATAAATTCAACTGTTATCCGTTTTTAGGGTTAACACAAATTAATAAAGGAAAATGTACAGTTAGCGCCTTCAGAGAGGAAAATAAGAAGGTCAAGTAACAAAAGGTCATTTACAATTATAGAAAAGAAAACATAACATGATTTACATAGCGATAAACAACAAATCTAGAAACTAAATCATCCTATTATAGAAAAGAAAACAAACCGTGATTTACACAACGATGACAAAGGTAAGTACGTGAACCATAACTCAAGAGTAATTGTCCCAACATAAAAGCATAGTTATACAGATCCTCATTATATAGAGCTTCCCCTTCTGTTGTTTCACCATTCTTTTTACCTTTTCAAATCTCAGCAGCTTCTTCATTCTTCCTCTAACTTTAATGATTTCTCTAACTAAAAATTTGCACTAAGAATTCACTAATTATAGCTACTCGATCAAAAACTCCAAAGGGACCTTCTATTTATAGTACATGAAGACATGACTTAACTTAATTGTATATATAGATAGATCCATCATATGCAAGAAGGAGATTGTACCAACAAAGGTTGTGATATAGTGGTAAATACTCCTTCAACTTTAATTAGAGGTTTCGATCGGGTTCGAGCCCTTGATATAGTGTCGTTTTTACTAGGGAATGCGTTACCCTCGATGTGGGATTTCGAGGCTCGAATCTGGATTTAATTGGGCCTAAATACGAGTACCTGGACACGGAATGGGAAACAGAAAAATGCAGACTAAATTTAGGTCAATATTAGAGTAGGGACACAGTGCACCCTGAGATATCTACATCTATACATATGTAGATAAATTTTGCCTGCCACTCATGATTGCCACCCGTGTTAACAGTTTTTAAGTTAACTTGATATATAACATCAAAACATTATCTTCTATGTGAAAAATTAGCCCCACATTCTCTGTCTTTTCATGAACACACCACTTGTTCTTCCTTAACTTGCAAAGGGACATTACATATAACTCAAAAGTTAGTATGATCAGAGCTTCCAAGACTGTCCCTATCCATGCAACATTAACTTCACATTACAAATTCTTTCATTTGTATACATAGTATAAACTATTTTTACAATATTAATGTAATGTAATGTAATATGTATTGAAATTGGTTGGCAGTCTCTAGACAAACCACTTGCTTTATTTAGTTTGTTTGGTACAATCATCTGGTATTCAGTACCCCACTAGCTCGACTAATCCGAATTCGTACTGCATACAGGAGCGTACCAATCTTAATGCAAGCAGTGTCATCCGATACCGCTTGGTCAAAAAGATTTACTAAATATAAATATACATAATATAAAAAAATAGAAAATAGTTAAATAAAGTGAAATTGACACCGCTTGACAACAAATGTGACTTAGCACCGTGGTTGAGCGCATCAAATCCTTAATGTTAGGTTGTGAGATCGAGCCGTGATGTTCTCTTATTTTTTGGAACTTTAAATCTATTATTTAAGAAAGATACAAGTTAGAAGGAGTCAAACTCTTGACCTCTTTTAGAAGGTATCAACTAAAACTTTAAGCTTTAAATCGCTATGGTGCCATATGCTCATCATAGGATATTATGAGTACACTTTAAAAACTGAGAATTTGTCGAGGCGAGTTGTAGTAATATATTTTGGGTTATGTTTTATTAATATAATTTGAATATATTTTTTAATACAATATTGTTTCAATTATTAGTTCATTTGTTTAATTCTTCAAAATTTTGACACCGCTCATAAAAAATTTCTCGTACGCCCCTGACTGTATAGGGCCGTTAAAGAACGAAGCATTCCCTGCCAAAGGTTTCTCTATTTCCAGGAGACCTTGGTAAAGGGCAATATTACAAAACCAAATAAAGTGAGTATTTACTTTTATGTTTCCGATTTTTTATACTTCTATAGCAGGACAGTTCCTCCAGGGTCGAGAAAAAACTTGAAATTCAACTGTAGGAGATTTTATTGAGTTTCAATCCATGATCATGAACATAGATGTCCCACTGGTATGCTAAAGCATGGCAGAGAAGTGCTAACTCCTTATCTTTAAGGCAAGAGGAATCAAAGATAAGATTTATAAAAAGACATCAAACCCTCTAAGTGGACCTATGAAAATGAAGTAGTTATCTCAAGTTAATGCATGATCAAAGCTGATTGATGGGACAAGAATCAAGATTAAATTTGGCCCTGTCCTTATGGACTAGTTTTGGATCAATATCTCAGTTATGAACACAGTTTGCAAGCTAAATTCATGTCTATTTCTGTAGGGTGTGACAGGCTATTAAAGGGACAACTATTTTCTAATAGTGGGAATGTTATGGCTTTATTGAACTCAAAGGAAAAGACCAGAGTGGTGGGGGGAAGTTTCCGATTAGCATGTAAATTGGGTGATTTGAGTGTTTAATAATGCAAGTGAAAGTGTTATGCTTGATTGTGATTAACTGAGACACCACAATCACAACATTCTCTTTTCAAGCATAGCCAAAAAGGTGAAGCAATTCAATAAGATGCAAACCACTTTGGGAAGGTATAAGCTGGTTGAGTCCTTTCTGGTAAAAAATCAGACAGCTCATATTGCCTTTATATTATTTAGGTGGCAAAATTAACTCATGAAAATATGATATATCTTATTTACTCAAGTTTAATAGAGTTGATCTGGCATATTTTTATGGAGGATCAATTTGGACACATCTCAACTCATCCCATTTAAAAGTTCAACTGATGTGGGCTAAATATGTAATTAAAATTGACCAGAAGAAAATATCAAAATATTATTTTTTCAAAAATAAGAATTTATTTGATATGTTAGATATAACCATAGTAAAAGAGAAAAAATAGTTTTGCTTGGTAATTAAATAAATTATAAGAAAATCAATAAAGGAATTAAAACTTGGTAAGAGTTAGAAGGTTTGGACTATATATGACCCACCGTTTAGCCGCTCTCACCCCAAGTGACTAGGGATATCAATGGATCTTTAAGAATCGACTAAACAGTTGTACCGTACCATACCGCACGGATCGATTATTAGTTTTTTTTAAATAAAAATATAGGTTTTTATATAGATTTATAACCGTAATAACTAGGATAGTTTTTAAATTTGATTAAAATAAATCGAAAAAATACCGAACCACATAGAATAAATTATATAAGAAAAATATAATTTATTCATTAAATTTAAAAATAACAAAGCATTAAATCTTTTTCTTTGGGTCTTGGGATTATGAAAACGGTTGCAAACCAACAAGTAATTAAAACTTAAAGTCTCAGCTCACAACCCTATTCTGCTACTCCTACTAAAACTAAATTAATTCTAACATATTGAGTAGCAAGCCATAAGGTATTCCAACAATTTTGAGAGCAAGTCAAATAGTATTGAATATCTTTCCTCTTATATGATTTGGATTTCTATTTATGGATACTTAATCTTCTAATAGACTCTATGCTTGAGTTACAATTTGATTAATATCTTTTCACTCATGTGATTCATATTTTTCTTATGTTTGCTTAATTTTTGTATGTTGTTGTAGATTAACAGTGAGATGAAAATATGTTTTGGCTATCCTTCATATTTTCTTGATTCATCGTCTTTTAAATAGTAAAAATATCTACATAGTTTTACTGAAGTCCTTTGTAAGTACGTATATTATCGTGTTCTAACTTTTATTAACGACTCTTAATTACATGACATTTTAAAAAAGTTCTAAAAATTAACCAAACTGTACCGATACTGAAGAGAAACTGAGATGATTGGGAGTGTTTCAATAATTCTAATTTTGATATATAAAATAAAGTAACGAAAAAACTAATATGGTATAAATTTTGTAAAATAACCGACCGAACCGAACCATTGACACACCTACAAGTGACCTTTTAACGTAAAATTTTATGAAGCGCCCTATTTAATTGTTGCCATTTAAACTGTACCCAGTTTTTTAAAATTATTTAAGTGGTATTCAGTATTTACAAACTTCAAACAAAGTCTCCTCCTCCTCCTCTTACTAGAGTTTCTATGCGTGAGAATAAGTGATATTCGACTTCTCATGAACCAAATTGAGAAGGAAAACGGCCGTAGAATACACTACACCCACTACTTATACGTGTGTGTTTATGTATGTCTAAATATTCAAGTTTAGTTTATATATTTATAACTTCAATTTGAAGGGCAAAGAGGGTAGCTGTACCCACGGGCGGACCCAGGGGCGGAAGGGGTTCGTCAAAAAATTATACTATATATACTAATGTATTCAGGTAAAATCGAGCTTGCCTAATTTTGTATGACTGACCGAAATCGGAGTGACAGATTAAGGCTCGACCTCGGTTATATCGGATCATAATACGGAGATGAATTAGTAAGCTCGTGGAACAATGGCCGATCAAGATTGATATTTGTCGCGATCGAGACCGAAGCGAGAAAGAGATCGAATGAGAACGAAGAAGCCTGCTAGGTCGAATAACAGAAAGCCGAGATAGCCGTGATCGGGCAAGGATTGTGGCGGAAACCTCGACACGTATCAAGACAAGACCGGATATTTAGACCATCATGGGATTTCCTTCTGTAGTTAGTATCGTACCATAAATAGGATTCCTCTTCTATATAAAGAGGGTCCTAATCATTTTATAAGCAGACACATTCTCGCAGATCAAAGCAATATATTACATCTTTTCTTTTAAGCTCTCTCAAGCTCTGCTGTTTGGTTCATACTTTTTAGCATACTTTGTTGTTCGAGGGCGATCTAGCTCGAGGGCCACAATTTTTTATCACATTGGTTTGCTTTATTTTATTGTTAATTTCTTACGTTAATTTTCACATTATCAGTTTGTACCGAGTGAAATCACATATCCTTAAAACCACTTATAAGTTTAATTGTTATCCAATTTTAAGGGTAAATAATTTGGCGCCCACCGTGGGGCTAAGGATAATAGTGATTGCCTGGTATTTTCGTAAAACACATTATTTTACGCTTGTTCTTTGAAGTGTCTTTGATTTCAGGATCAACATGTCAAACTCCCAAGTAGCACCTTCACATACTGACAACGGCCTTAGTCTTCATGGCGAGAACGAAAGCATAGCCGCCCTGGAAGTGGAGTACCTCTAGTTAACCTAGATGGAGCTCCGGCCGTGGGCCCAATCGACGTCACCTCCCATATTGCCATTAATGTGAATTTGGGCGTCGACCCTGAAAATAGCGTCCGCCGAGATGCTCGAACAGCCGATCAGAAAGCACAGAGCGGTGAAGAAGGCCGAATTAGCCTTCGAATGATATTCGAGACATTGCAGACTTAACAAGCTGCAATAGCACAACTCCAAAATTAGAATCGTGCGCCAAGTAGGATCGAGCTCGAGCCATCACCAGAAGTTGTTCATAGAGTCGAATCGGTGCCAAAGAAATCGAATGAAGGAGAATCGGAGACTAATCTCGCTATTGTAAAAATGCTCGAGGAACTGATGAAGCGAATCGAGACAGGGGAAAAGAAGATCGAGGAAAATGATAAGAAGGTGGAAACGTATAACTCCAGGGTCGACCAGATTCCGGGGGCACCACTGGTATTGAAAGGAATAGATTCCAAAAAGTTTGTCCAAAAACCTTTCCCCCTCGAGTGCAACTCCGAAGCTAATCCCAAAGAAGTTCCGTATGCCCGAGATCCCGAAGTATAACGGGACGACAGATCCAAACGAACACATCACCTCATATACGTGCGCCATTAAGGGAAATGACTTGGAAGATGATGAGATTGAATCCGTGTTGCTGAAGAAATTCGAAAAAACTCTATCAAAGGATGCTATGATATGGTATCATAATTTACCACCTAGCTTTGTTGATTTATTTGCTATGCTTGTAGATTCTTTTGTAATGGCACATGCCGGAGCCATTGAGGTTGCAACAAGAAAATCGAACCTATTCAAGGTAAGGCAGAGAGATAACGAGATGCTCTTGGATTTCATATCTCGGTTCCAAACGGAGAGAATGGATTTGCCGTCGATCACCGACGATTGGGTTGTTCAAGCCTTCACTCAAAGTCTCAACGATCGGAGTTCCATAGCTTCACAACAATTGAAACAGAATTTGATCGAATATCCAGCTCTCACTTGGGCCAATGTACATAATCGGTATCAGTCAAAGATCAGGGTCGAGGATGATCAACTGGGGCCCCAACTGGTTTGATTCATTCTACAGGCCCGTGGACAGAGTTAAAAGGGACTTCGACCGGGATACATGGTCGAACAGAGACCGATATCAGCCGTACGGTGGAGATCGAAGAAATAACGGGCCTGGATGCAACCCCGATCGGAATGACAGAAGGAATGATCTGGGACAGAGCTCCCGAGGGCTCACGAGCAAGAGTGGTTTCGATGGGGATGTCGGGTCCAAAGAAGCACCTCGATTGTCAGAATATAACTTCAGCGTAGATGCTTCCGCCATAGTATCAACCATTGGGCGTATGAAAGATACCAGGTGGCCTCGACCTCTGCAGACTGCTCCAGCCCAAAGAAACCCAAACCAAATATGCAAATATCATGGCACCCATGGCCATAAAACAAAAATATTGCAGACAACTAAGGGAGGAAGTAGCCCGATTGTTCAACGAGGGGCACCTTCGGCAATTCTTAAGTGATCAGGCAAAGAACCACTTCAAGAATAGAGATTCCAACAGACAGAACGAGCAAGAAGAACCGCAGAACGTGATTCACATTATCGTTGGAGGGGTCGATATTCCTCAAGGACCGGTATTTAAACGCACCAAAGTGATAATCACAAGGGAAAAGTGAACACGGGACTACTTATCGGAAGAGACTTTGTCTTTCAACGACGAGGATGCAAAAGGGATCGAGCAACCTCATAAGGACGCGCTGGTAGTATCTATCCTTATGAATAAAATTCAAGTTAAACATGTTTTGATTGATGCAGATAGCTCGACCAACATTATTCTATCGAGGGTTGTAGAACAACTCGGCCTACAATATCAAATTGTGCCCGCATCCCGAGTACTTAACAGCTTCAACATGCGAAACCACCAAAGGTGAGATTATTTTGCCAGTGAACCTGGCCAGGACCATCCAGGAAACAAAGTTCCACATAATCGAGGGTGATATGAGGTACAGCGCCCTGCTCGGAATGCCTTGGATCCACACCATGAGGGCAGTACCCTCGACCCTTCACCAAGTTCTGAAGTTCCCAACATCGGAGGGAATCAAAATAGTGTACGGGGAGCAACCTGGCGCTAAAGAGATGTTTGCAATTGATGAGGTAATACCAGTATCGGCACTATCATCAGCAAAGGGATCAAATTCAAAGGGAAAGTAGGAAGTCAAATAGCAACCACAGTCACCATCCTCGGCCCAATTGGATGAGCAGGGAACTTTCGAGGATGATGACTATATGATACCCTGAACCTTCATAATCCCCGATGATTCTGACGCAACAAAGTCAACGGTCGAAGAGGTGGAACAAATCATACTGAGCGAGCATTTGCCCGATGGAAAGGTATACTTGGGCACGGGGTTAACTCCCGAGTTCAGAAAAGAACTCATTCAATTTCTTAAAGCTAATATGGATTGTTTTGCCTGGTCCCATCTCGATATGATAGGGATCCCACCGGAGATCACTACGCATAAACTAAGCTTGGACCCGAAGTTTCGCCCTGTGAAACAAAATAGGAGGCCTCAGTCCGAGGTAAAACACACCTTCATCAAAGATGAGGTAACCAAACTTCTCAAAATAGGATCCATTCGGGAAGTAAAGTATCTTGAATGGTTAGCAAACGCAATGGTAGTCCCTAAGAAGGGAAACAAACTTAGAATGTGCGTAGATTATAAAGATCTGAATAAAGCATGCCCTAAATATTGTTTCCCTTTGCCTAACATTGATCGTATGATCGATGCCATGGCCGGCCACGAGACTCTCAGTTTTCTCGATGCCTACTCCGGGTACAACCAAATATAGATGAACCCGGAGGACTAGGAAAAGACCTCGTTTATCACCAAGTATGGCACCTACAGTTATAATGTAATGCCATTCGGACTTAAAAATGACGGTGCAACCTATCAACGCTTAGTAAATCGAATGTTCGAACAACAAATAGGGAAATCTATGGAAATTTATATTGATGACATGCTAGTTTAGTCCCTGCGAGCAGAGGACCATTTGAAACATTTGCAGGAGACTTTCGATATACTAAGGAAGTACAATATGAAACTCAACCTAGAAAATGTGCATTCGAGGTTGGCTCGGGCAAGTTTCTCGGCTTCATGGTGTCCAATTGGGGAATCAAGATCAACCCTAATAAAATCAAATCTATCGACGATATCAAAGTCGTAGATAATGTAAAGGCCGTGCAGAGGATAACCGGGCGCATAGCTGCCCTGGGGCGATTCATTTTGAGGTCCTCGGATAGGAGTCACAGGATTCTTCTCACTGCTTAGGAAGAAGAACAATTTTGCATGGACCCTGGACTGTCAGCAGGCCTTGGAGGAACTAAAGCAGTACTTATCGATCCTGCCGCTGCTTCATACCCCGAAAATGGACGAACAACTTTATTTGTACTTGGCGGTCTCGGAGATAGCGGTAAGTGGAGTCCTAGTCCGAGAAGTACAAGGTACGTAATTCCCTGTTTACTATGTTAGTCGGACCTTAGGTGAGACCGAAACTAGGTATCCTCACTTAGAAAAATTAGCGCTTGCTTTAATAAGCGCCTCTAGGAAATTAAAACCGTATTTCCAATGTCATCCAATATGTGTTATAACTACCCATCCCCTTCGAAATATTTTGCATACACCCGAACTTTCGGAGCGATTGGCCAAATAGGTCATGGAACTCAGTGGTACGATATTGAGTATCAACCCAAAACAACCATTAAGTCTCAAATCTTGGCAGACTTCATGGTTGACTTCACACCAGCCCTCCTACCCGAGGTCGAAAAGGAACTGTTATTAAAATTTGGTACATCATCGGGTGTATGGACAGTCTTCACAGATGGCGCTTCGAACGTGAAAGGGTTCGGGCTTGGCATCGTTCTGAAGCCGCCTACGAGTAACACAATTAGACAATCTATCAAAACTTCAAAGTTAACTAACAATGAGGCCGAGTATGAGGCCATGATTGCAGGTCACGAGCTGGCTAACAGTTTAGGGCAGAGGTCATCGAGGCCAAATGTGATTCCCTACTTGTGGTAAACCAATTCAACAGAACTTTTGAAGTCCGCGAAGATCGAATGCAGAGGTACTTGGACAAGCTACAGGTAACTTTACATCGATTTAAAGAACGGACCCTACAACACATACCTCGAGAACATAACAAAGAGGCCGATGCCCTTGCAAACTTGGGGTCATCGGTCGAAGATGATGAGCTTAACTCGGGGACTGTCGTACAACTCTCGAGATCAGTAATCGAGGAAGGTCACGTCGAAATAAGCTTTACAAGTTTGACTTGGGATTGGAGAAACAAGTACATTGAATACCTAAAGAACGGGAAACTCCCATCAGATCCGAAGGAGTCAAGGACTCTGCGCACGAAGGTGGCACGGTTCACTTTGGCCGAGGATGGAACGCTATTTAGAAGGATGTTCGATAGGCTGTTGGTGATATGTTTGGGACCAGGAGACACCGACTACGTCCTACGGGAGATTCACGAAGGCACTTGTGGGAACCACTCCGGTGCCGAATCACTAGTTCACTAAGTTATCAGAGCAGGGTACTATTTGGGGTGATATGGAAGAGGATACAAAAGAGTTCGTTTGAAAGTGTTATAAATGTAAAAGGTATGCACCGATGATTTACCAGCCCGGGGAGCAGCTCCACTCGGTCTTATCCCCATGGCCATTCATGAAATAGGGAATGGACATCGTCGGTCTCTACCATTGGCCCTGGGTAAAGCTCAGTTTATTTTATTTATGACGGGTTATTTTTCTAAGTGGGTTGAAGCACATGATTTCGAGAAAGTCAGAGAAAAAGAAGTCATAGACTTCATTTGGGACCATATTATATGCTGATTCGGGATGCCTGGCGAGATTGTGTACGACAACGGGAAGCAATTCATCTGTAGCAAAGTGACTAAATTTCTCGAGATCACAAGATTAAAAGGATTCTATCAATTCCATACCATCCCAGCGGGAACGGACAAGCCGAATCGACCAACAAAACCAACATTCAAAATCTTAAGAAAAGATTGACCGATGCTAAGGGAAAATGGAGAGAGATATTTCCCGAGGCTCTTTGGGCATACCGCACGACGTCGAAATCTAGTACGGGGACAACACCGTTCTCCTTGATCTATGGTGCCGAAGCTCTTATCCCGGTCAAGGTTAGGGAACCTAGCCTCGGGTTTCGATATGCGATAGAAGAATCAAATAACGAGTCCATGAAAACCATCCTAGATTTGTTGGATGAAAGACGCGAGGCACTTTAAAATCGGGGACTTGGTGCAGAGAAAGGTCACCCTCAACACTCGAAACTCAAATGAAGGAATTGGGTCCAAATTGGGAAGGACCATATCAGGTCCTCGACATTATCGAAAAAGGATCCTACAATCTCGGTACGATGAACAGCGAGAAATTACCAAACAATTGGAACGTCTCACTTCTAAAGCGATACTACTGCTAAGGTACAACCTTCTTCGTTTTCATTTATATTTTAAACTAACCAATTGCAGGTGTTCGATCAGGAACAACGATGGATCTTTCAGTACGAAGTCTTTAGGTCTGAAAGCACGCGTTGCACTCTTTTTCCCTTAGACCGGTTTTGTCCCAATGGGGTTTTCCAGTGAGGTTTTTAACGAGGCAGTCGTTGATCGTTCTAACTTAGAATAATTCAATAGTATCCGAGGCTTCTTTACAATCAGCCTCGAATACTGGGGGGAATTACCCTCGAATGTCAACTTTGTTGCAAGGAAATTACTTCATAACTGCGGGGTATCAGTAGGTAAATATTGTAAGGGCCAAACGGTCAAATGAACCGTGCCTATATAGGTTACTCGAGCCCTAACATCAAACATGTACGCATGTGTAATCATCTATTGAAAGAAGTATTTTTCCTTGCCGATATCTCATGCCTTAGAAAATTTTTCTACTTTACAATTTCATACTCTTGATCTATTGTGTAAACATGCTTAAGGGCCGATCATAACAGAAGTTCAAACAACTAACCCCATGCTCGGGGACTGCCGTCCGAAGAATAAACGAGATCGAATTATTAAAACTTCGAGATCATAAGACTTTAAAGGCGACCCTCCATTTTTAAAGGCCACGACCACCCTACTCGGGGATTTACACTTCGGGCAAGCTCGAAATGAAATAGGAAAATAAGCCTAAGAGGCAAGTCCCAAATAAAAAGTCTACGACCGAATTAACACGGTTCGGAGACGTCCGGATTCCGTAATAAAACAGGCCTTCAAATATTTATATAAACCTGTTAAAAAGGCTACCCTCGGCAAAATTATAAAGGGCTTAGATAATATCAAGCCTTAAAAACTCTAATGAGTGCAAAATTGTTCGAACTCTCGAACAATCCCTTATTTTATGCTAAGGCATCATAACCTTTGCGAACATGAATGACAAATCAAAGGAAAAAATTCTTGGAAGCCAAAAAGGGTAGAAAGCCTTATATATATTAAAACGATCGTTCTACAAAGGCCAGATCGGCCAAATACAAGAGCCTAAGGGCTATTCTCACTTCGAGTTTGAAATATCACTCTTACTCTAATACTAAGCTTACAACTCGAATTCGAATAAATTCTCACTCGGGTACTGTTCTTCGGGCCTAAGGGCCACCTGATTTCGAGTTCGAGATAACACTCTCACACGAACATCAAACTAATTTCTTTATTCCGAGTCCAGATAAATGATCTCACTCGGCTCTGATTTATCGAAAACGGCCTCAGGACTAGTTCGAATGTCCGACCTGGACCGTTGAATACAACCATATAACTTTGTACTAAGGTACTTTGACACTTGCATAAAATAACTAAAGGACAACGGATTCGGGAACCATGGAAAGGAAAAAGGTTTTATATATCAATGTTTTTCTTACAAGGGCCACATGGCCCGATCAAAAGTTCTTTACAA